GCATGTGTATTGCCCATTGGGCATTGGCGGCATTGAGTCCCGATGCAGAGAATTTTTTACATTCACCTGAGAATTTTTATACTTTACTACCTATACCCATTCTCCTAAAGTTTTCAATAAAAACGATGAACTACGTTCAAAGATAAGTCACAGACAGTTTTACTGTTTTGGTTTTATTTAGAAGTCAAATGTTTCACATTGGCTTAAAACTCGTGATATACTGTTACTTTTGAAAATTATTAGCCTTCAACAAAACAAGACGCGTACAATTCCAATTTTCAATTAAATCGGTTTTTTTTAAATTTTCAAATAAAGCCTATCAACATTTGCAAACAACAATTAACAAATCTAATGGCATATTTCTTATAGAAATATTAGAAATATAAAAATTAAACAGTAATAACTGTCAACTGACCGATTTGATACGAAACATCTTGAAAGCATGGGGGATTGCGATTTTCTAGCTTTGTTGACTTGACTGTTGACAAAATTTTAAAATGTTTTAATTTGTAATTAAAAAGCAAACAGAAAAACACAAAAATTAGCAAGCATTTCGAACCATGTAACGCAAAACTGACGAAATATAATCCAGTTCACTCTGATCCACTCCTTGTAATTGAAGTGTAACATTTTTTCGTGGAAGCATGCAATTTGATATTCTGCCTTCCCACCTTAGCCAATCTATTTTTGTAAAGTCACGCGACCAGCCCCAACCAGGGTCTTTCCCATAGGTAAGACCCTGTGTACGAGGTTGCCTATTGAGGCACAAAATAACATTGATTTTGCCCGTTGTGGTCAGTAGTAATATAGAGGCCGATCGAGCCGGATTTTTGTGGTGGAGTGTGGTGTAGTGTGGTGGAGTGTGGAGGTGGATTGAGGTGGAGTGTGGAGGGTAATTAACATACATCCACATTAATTAACATATCTCTACATTAACTAACATACCTCCACATTAGTTAACATACCTCCACATTAATATACCTCCACATTAATATACCTCCACATTAATTAATATACCCCACATTAATTAATATATTCCCACATTAACTAACATACCTCCACATTAACTAACATACCTCCAGATTAGTTAACATACCTCCACATTAATATACCTCCACATTAATTAATATATCCCACAGGTGCGCACGAATGACATCATAATGATATGCAAGGCAAGCTTGGGCGAGAAAATCATTAAGCTGAGGTAAGCATTTTTGTCACAAAAGTATAATCGCTTTTTAATTAGCGTCCCATGTTAGCGTAGCTGCAGAATTTTCCATTATTAACGTCCCATGTTAGCGTAGCTACAAAATATTCCAAACATTCGATATAAACACAGTCTTTTATCGACAGTGTTTGAAGTAGCTTCCCTTGTTTTGGTTGAAATTATTTCTTTATTTAATTTCGGAGAGGACTTTTCAGTGGACAATATGGCTCAAGAGCATCGGGATTTTGCCCTAAAAATAAATATGTTTTTTACGAAATATGCGGTCGTTATATACGTTGCTATGTGTTGCCAGTCATTAATTAGCGACGCTTGGGTGCATGGATATATTAATGTACAACATATTTGTACACTAATCAGGCGGGCGGGTTAGACAAATCGCGCGGGCGGGAAAGAGCGTGCTTTGCAAGCAAAAGTTTGCACAAAATTTCAGTTTTAAAATATTTCTTCAAACGTTTTACAAAATTTAGTACGGTCTACTTCTAAGAGGGTAACGTTTAGGTGTTTTTGTTATCTTTAAAGAGTTTGTTTAATTTGCTGTTTATCTCTTGGTGATTTGAACAACACGATATAATGAGCATTAAGGCTGATATTTCTCATTTCTTTGCGCTGATGAAATATATTTTGGACAATATAAATGATAGACAAATTTATCTTTACCAGATTGAGCGACAAGGTCGTCCAATACGATCAAATTCCGGTGAGATACGTCCAAGTAATCTGCGTTGTCGATATCGTCGGGAATGCTTTGATTAAACTCGATTCCGGGCATCATCCTCATCATATCAAAATAGGACGGTTGCCATTGACCATAACACCAGATGACACGTTGAGGAGGTGGACTTATAGTTTTCTGTGAATTCTCCAAAAGAGCTTTCACCCACACAGTTTTGCCGCTTTGTGCACACCCAGCTACGATGCACGTGAAAGAGTGTTGCTCACCGTAAGAGTTTGTTTCCCAAGATTACGATTTCCATATGCATGGACAACCTTCTTGTGGCAAAGGAGATTACTCGCAATTGGCTATTGTCATGACTATGAAGACTGTGGTGATGACTATTAAGACTATTGTCATGACTATTGAGACTATAGTCATGACTATTAAGACTATAGTCATCAATATGAAGACAATAGAAAAGACTATTAAGACTATATAGTAAAGACTATTTAGGCCCTGTTCACATGATCCCGGGATAAACAATTGCCCCGCGACAAGTCATTCACCCGGGGTACTGAAATCGTCTGTTCACATGAACAAAGCTAGCGCGGGTCATGCCTATAAATACATTACACGGGAATCATAAAATATTCCCGCCAACGTGAAACGGTGAAATATTGCTAAATAAAAAAATATTCTGATAAACGCAAGTCGTATTTAATGTTATGATATTTACAAATAGAACGTACTTTATTATCAGCCGTAATAAAATGTGCTCAATTCATTGTTTCAGGTTGACCAGATCAAATTTTTGAGTAGCATACTACACTTCTTGGTTTAAAAAATGATTTTAGCGACAATTTTATTTTAATATCATTAGAATCATCACTTATAGATTTCAAATAATATCTTCAATCAAATAACAGGTTTTTGTGGAGTCCAACGTGCTCCAAATGTAATTTTAGCCGCGATTTTGATCGTTTTATCAAAAATTCAATTATCCCGGGACAAAGTTGCCCCGGGGCAAAGTGTTCACATGAGGAAAAGTTGTCCCGGCTAGGCGAGTGTCCCTGTCTACAGAAGCGAGAAGTAAAATATCATGTGAACAGCACTATTCTTTTATTAAGGAGCCAAGACAATTTTTGTCCTGCGACAATTGCTTGCCCCGAGACATAATGCTGTCCCGGGTTCATGTGAACAGGGCCTAAGACTATAGTCATGACTATGAAGACTATAATCATGACTATGAAGACTATAGTTATGACTATATGTCGACTACATGGTGTATCAAAAAAAGCGCAATCCTTGACTGAAATGTAAATTGCTAAACAAATAATAGACGAAAACGTTAAAGTTTACATTCATTTTAAAGCGTAGCCATTCAGCTTTCTAACAGTGGGTTGTTTCTTAAATTTGACTCATTGGTTCGCGGGTAATAATACTTTACGTTATTGCGATTGGAGATTAAAAAAATTAAGATGGAATAACAAATCGTTCTCATGAAAATAACTGATTTTTTCATTAAAACAAAAAAATGTTACATTTTATTAAATGGATTTTAACAATAAGTATAATTACGGCTTTTCTTCCACTATTTTTAACTCATGTTTGAAACTTCAAATGCGATATAATTTTGGCTTGGACCATCTAAGCTGACTGACATCAACTTGCTATAATTTCTGTTTACATTTCATTACATCGCAATTCGATGACACTCTGGCTCAGACACCAGAATGTTTTGACGATTTTAGCATTCGTTTAGGATTCTCAAACAACCTGGTCTCTTTTAAAATACTTTTAATTTGTTCTTACGTGGTTTTCCAGATGTAGTGACGACAACATTAAAGTTTAAAGAAGAAAATTCTAACATTTAAACAGACTAAACAATAACATAGTAAACTTGCATAATTAAACAGCGACTAAAAATGATAGGTTTTACTAAATCTTTTCCTGTGCAATTATTACTAGCATTGGAGACAAGAATAATAGTTTGTTTGAAAGAGAAAAGAACAGGCTTTGAAGTAAGCCTAAAAGCGTTTAACTAGAAATAGTATTTCGAAAGTTATTAAGCACAAAAGATGAATTGCGTTTATTTTGATACACCCTGTATAGTGAAGACTATTAAGACTATAGTAAAGACTATTAAGACTATATATAGTCTTGACTATTAAAACTATAATAAAGACTATTAAGACTATAGTCATGACTATTAAGACTATAGTAAAAACTATTAAGACTATAGTCTAGACCTAGTTTACAGAGGGCGAGCCGACACTTATATATGTGTTATTTCCAACTAAGTCTTCATTTAGTTGTTGACCGCCGAACAGAGATGACTAGCAGTTATATCAAACACAGACCGTTTGTGGAGCTCTTGTGTATTTCTTATCCAATTCAACAACAAGCTCTGTTAAATTCTGCATCTCAAAAACAGATGCGCTTTCTATGTAATTGCTTGGAAAACTTTACATATCCTAAAGGAACATTGAACAAACTTGGGCCATTTAAAGACGATCTCGCTGAGTTAGCGGACAGATGTAGGAGTTTTACAAAGAAAAGGAAAATTCTTGTTCAGCGCGGGAGTGGTTTTCTAGGATTGGTACTTGCGCCACTTTTGGAGGGACTTGCAGAATTAGTATAAAATAATCATCATTAATTCACATCGTCATTCCAACCATGGACAGCAAAGAAAGATCATCTCCGAGACATTGGCGCGTTGAAGACATACTTGGACACTTAAACGATAATGTTGATAATGTCGGAAACTGTGTTGTTTTTATCGTATTTGGTTTAATTATTAATTAGGGTTAACTATTTAGGGACATTAGAATGTTTAGTTTGATTGACATTTAATTATCACGTGGTAGATTTGAACGGGATATAGAGTGTTGTTGACCTCCGTGTGCGAAGGAGTGATCAAATTTCGAACTGTGACTGTGATTTTAATATAAAGTTTATTTACCAATTCTTTTGTGTATTTTATTTTGTGATCGTGTGGGACTTCTTGAAAGGATCGAACCCCTTTTCCCACATTACTGGCACCTCCGACGGGATATTTTGATGGTTTTATCGTGTGTTATACGCTCCGTGTGGATATAAACAATGTCGCTAAAAAAGCAATTGACGGAGCTAGACGTGAAACTGAAGGCTTTGCGTTTTCGAGTGAACCGCAGTAACGAGATCATAGAGAAAGGTGAGAGATCTGCTGTGGAAAGGCAACGAGAGTCCATTCAAACGCTTGTAAGTACAATAAATTGTTTAAAGGGGTCTATCGAAGAAGCGAAATTCGGGCAAAGCGAATCTGAGAGCGATGTAGAACAATGGTCGCAAGACATCGACGCGCGAGTCGCCACAGCTGACCAGTGTTGTGAAAAGCTATACAATTTTGTTAAGGAAATCGAAACGAAGGCGAAAGAGCAAGAATTAATTAGCCAAGACGCACGAGCAACAGATTTTAGAGCAAAAGCTTGAGGCCACTGTGAAAACAAAAGAGCTTGCAGAAGGCACTGTCAGATTGCCAAAATTGAATATTACTAAGTTCAACGGAAAACTGCATGATTGGGTTAGATTCTCTGGTCAGTTTGACGCAATGGTTGACTCGCTAAATGTCCCTGCAATCACGAGGTTCTCTCATCTAAAGGAACTTGTAGAGCCGCATATTCGAAGCGCGATTGATTGTCTGCCATTTACCGACGTACGGTCACCCGAGTGAAGTTGCTGGATCTTATGTTACCAATATTATTGAATTGCCATTTCTAGCTGAGCGAGAAGTTCCAAAAATACATAGATTTTATGAACAGTTGCCGTTTAATGTTGAAAGTCTCGAGACACTCGGGAAACTTGACACTATAGAAGACTCTACCTATTATGTTGTTAAGAAATTAGAAGTTATTAAAGCCGAGTTAGTAGCGCATGTTGAAACCAATTGGAGGGATTGGACATTTCGGGATTTAGTAAATGCGCTGCGAAAATATGGACGGAGATTAACAGTGTAGTTAAAACGCAAAAGCGCAATAAGGATAACGCATCCCATAGTATTACGCATCGTCATGGCAACCAGCCCACGGGTGAGCGCGCTCTTACCTCACGAGATACCAAAGTTAAATGTGTTTATTGCGAAAATACGGATCACAAAGCAATCTCGTGTAGCAATGTGACGGCACCGAGCGAAAGAAAGAGAATTTTAGCGGAAAAACGTCTCTGTTTCAATTGCGCAATTGGTCAACATGCGGCGAGCAGCTATAAAAGCAAGATCTCTTGCCAAAACTGCCAAAAGAGACATCACACCTCAATATGTCCGTCATCAATTGAAGTGGGATTAACCGCGAATGTAATTAACTCGGAAAGTACATGTGTAGTACACCCCTTGGTGATTGTACAGGTTAAAAGCATCAAATTCCGAGCGCTTTTAGACAGCGGCGCTAGTAACTCTTTCGTGTCAGAAACTCTGGTAAATCTCGTTGGCGTGAAAGCCGTGAAGACAAGTACGCGGCAAATATCAACCTTAATGGGCGCTACAACGACAAAAATGTCGCAATTTGATTTGAGTTTCGAAGCGCTAAAAGGCGGTTTCGTTCTGAACGCTCGTGCAACAATGATAAAAAACCGTGAACTGTTGTTGCTAGACAATCCTCACCTCGACAAGAGAATCGAAGCTCATCAACATTTGCGTGACATTGAGTTCGAAGACCAATCAACGAAAGAGAAGTTGCCCGTGCACATTATTTTGGGCGCAAACGAGTACGCGAAGATTCGAACGTCCCAGGTACGTATCGGTCGGCAAGGGGAGCCCGTAGCTGAGCTCACGCGATTCGGGTGGGCCTTGATGAGTCCCGGAGAAGATTTAAACCCCACCGCAGGATGTATGGCGGTAAATACTGCGATGGATCACGAACAATTGTGCTCACTCGATGTTCTCGGCCTGGCTGACCCCCTTTCCGGTGATCAGGGCGTGGTTTACCAAGAGTTTCGCGAGCAGTTATCGCGAGATCCTGACGAAGCTTGGTACGAGACGTCTCTACCGTGGAAAGGCGACCATCCTCCACTTTCCAACTATTATAACGGCAGTATTCGTCGCATGCACAACCTAGTTCGAAGACTTCGAAAGACGGAAAAACTGGAGGAGTACGACGCGATTATTCGGGAGCAAATTGAAGAGGGAATCGTCGAACGAGCTCCAAGCGAAGCGGTTGGTCGAGAGTTTTACATGCCACATCGTGCTGTGGTGCGAGAAGGCGCAGAGAGTACAAAAACGCGTGTCGTTTACGATTGTTCTGCTCGTGAAGGAGAGGGACCGTCCCTCAACGACTGTCTTGATGTTGGTCCGCCGCTCCAAAACAAGCTTTGGGACGTTCTGGTGCGAGGACGATTTCACCCAATTGCTTTGGCTGGTGACTTGCGAAAGGCGTTCCTGCAGGTGCGAATCAAAGAGGAACATCGTGACGCTTTACGATTCCATTGGTTGCGCTCGGTCGATTCGAATGAAGTTGAGACTTTACGTTTTACGCGAGCCTTGTTTGGTCTTGGACCTTCTCCATTTCTGCTTGGAGGCGTAATTGAACAGCATTTAGCAGGATGGAGCGAGAAACTTCCAGAGAGCGTAGCACAGATTTCTCGAAGCCTGTACGTAGATGACCTGATTTCGGGTGCTTATAACGTCACGAAAGCACAAGATCTGAAAAGTGATGCAACGAAAGTATTCGCGGATGCTAGTTTCGAGCTTCATAAATGGCATTCTAACGAGCCGGAGTTGGAAGATCACTGCCAGAAACCAGAGATTGTTGAAGAGACGACGTATGCCAAGCAACAACTGGGTTCCACTGCTAAAGAATGCAAACTTCTTGGGTTGGCGTGGAATAAAGATGAAGATACAGTAAGTGTCGTGTTTCCTGATAAGAGACCTAACCCAACGAAACGAGAGGTCCTGGGAAAATTAGCCCGTGTCTACGATCCTCTTGGGCTGGTATCGCCGATGACTCTTCAAGGAAAACTGATCTTCCGCGAAGCCTGTGAAAGAAAAACACCTTGGGACGCTCCCTTGCCCGAGAAGCTCGCTAAGCTGTGGGAGAAGTGGGAATCTTCCTTACCAGCGCGTGTTGCCACCAGACGAAGTTTAACTACTATCGAGAGCCTGTTGATGCCATAGAGATTCATGCATTCGGAGATGCAAGTGGGCGTGGTGTAGCGACTGCCGTGTACGCTGTAGTGAGTCAAGCGTCTGGTGTCACCCAAGGTTTAGTAGCTGAAAGTCTCGGCTTGCCAAGCAAGGTCTCACCATCCCGCGTCTGGAGTTAGTATCCGGTCATATGGCTTCCAACGCTGCAGACAACGTCCGGAGAGCTCTCGAAGGATTTCCTGTCACTGCGACCTACTGTTGGCTTGACAGTACCGTGGCATTGCATTGGATTTGTGGCGGCGGGGAGTATCGTCAATTCGTCGCCAACCGTGTCCAAAAGATCCAGGAACATAACATCGATGCCTGGCGACACGTGCCAACGGCTGACAATCCAGCAGATATCGGAAGTCGTGGTGGGTCGGTTGAAAATTGCGAGTTGTGGTGGAACGGGCCGGCATGGCTGTCCAATCGTGAACTATGGCCACCCAATCTTGTGCCGAAAGAAAGTGTCGATTCCGCTGCAGAAGCTAAAGTTATCAGAGAGGTAGTAGCGGTTGCTTCCGTTGCTGAAGCTGATGCATTCGACAATCTGCTGGCGAAGTACGATCTCAAGAAATCGCTCCGAGTGTGTGTGTGGATATCGAGATTCCTACGTGCGTGTAAAGGAAATAAACGTGTCGGTCCAATTCTCACTACCGAATTGGAAGAGCAAAGGAAATGGTGGATTCGTAGAGTTCAAAAACGAGCCAAAACGTCTCGTGAATACCTTGACGAACAGTTGCAACTTAACTTGCAAGAGAATGACGAGGAAATTTTGGAGTGTCGTGGACGCATCCAAGGGAGCTATCCGGTGTACCTTCCAGACAAATGCGAATTTGCAACGAAGCTCGTTGAACAAGCTCATCGAACGACCTTACATGGAGGAATGGGGCTGACAATCGCAAATATTCGGGAGGAATACTGGATTCCTCGCCTACGTCGATTGGTCAAACGAGTGATAAAGTCGTGCCGCGGATGTAAGAGGTTTCAAGCGCGTGCCCTTAGTTCACCCCCGCCTGGTCTTCTTCCTAAAGAGAGAACGCAAGGTTCGACTGCCTTCGAAGTTGTTGGCGTTGATTTCGCGGGTCCCATCCGGTATCGTCGGAGAAAAGGCCAGGAAGATAAGTGTTATCTGATCCTCTTCGCCTGCAGTCTATCTCGTGCCCTTCATTTAGAGCTATTGTTAAGCTTAGAGACGGTTGAATTTCTCGGAGCTTTGAGACGATTCATTGCACGTCGAGGTCGGCCGTCTAAGATCTTCTCGGATAACGGCAAAACGTTTGTCGCTGCAGCTAGTTGGCTCAAGAAGGTGATGCAAGACGAGCGATTGCACGACTTCCTCGCAGATAAATCTATTTCGTGGCAGTTTAATCTGAGCAGAGCTCCGTGGTGGGGAGGCCAATTCGAGCGCATGGTTGGTCTGTTCAAACGTGCATTCTACAAGACGATTGGAGCGAGTTTGTTGACCTACGGGGAACTGTGCGAGATTGTCCTCAATGTTGAGGTGGAACTTAACAACCGACCATTAGACTACGTAGAAGACGATATCCAGCTTCCTATCCTGACTCCTGCCTCATTCCTATTCCAGAGATCGAATAGAATTCCCGAGTTGGCGACGTGGCGCGAAGAGAAAGGCGATTTGCGTAAAAGAGCGAAGTACTTACAATCTTGTAAAGACGCCTTGTGGAAACGTTGGACTTCGGAGTATCTCAAGGCGTTGAGAGAAAGACATCACTGCAATCGAGACGGGAAGTCAGCGAAACTCGGTGTTGGAGACGTTGTCATCGTGCGTTGCGACGAGAAAAATCGGGCAAAATGGCCTCTCGGAATCGTCGAAGAGCTATTTCCGGGAAAAGATGGCGTGATTCGAGCCGTAAAGTTGCGTGCGGGTAAGTCCTACCTCGAACGTCCCATACAACACCTCTACCCACTGGAGCTTTCGTGCGACCGTCGAGAAGCAAACCCCGTCGTTCTTAACCCTGAAGCACCACCTTTCCGTCCGAAGAGAGATGCTGCCGTTGCTGCTGAATTGAGGAACAATGACATTTTGCTAAACGATCATTGAGTGGTAGCTATGTACAGTAGTTTGAAAGTTTCCTTAATGCATGTGACTCCTTACGGGTCACATGGGGGAGTGTGTCGGAAACTGTGTTGTTTTTATCGTATTTGGTTTAATTATTAATTAGGGTTAACTATTTAGGGACATTAGAATATTTAGTTTGATTGACATTTAATTATCACGTGGTAGATTTGAGCGGGATATAGAGTGTTGTTGACCTCCGTGTGCGAAGGAGTGATCAAATTTCGAACTGTGACTGTGATTTTAATATAAAGTTTATTTACCTATTCTTTTGTGTATTTTATTTTGTGATCGTGTGGGACTTCTTGAAAGGATCGAACCCCTTTTCCCACAAAGAAATGGCGAATATTTAAGATATCCGGAAAAATTTTTGGCTTCACGGAAAATTTTTGTATGTCCGGAAAAATTTTTAGACCCCTAAAATGGTACACTGACCGAAATATTTTTGGCGCCGGGGGGGGGTCGCCAAAAAATTTTGCAGTGAAAAAAAATTTTTCAGTAAAGGTGCCCTTGGTGTGCG